GTTAACATAGCTGTAATGTTAAGTCCTGTCCTGTCCTGTCTTTCTCAGTCATAAAAATGAATGGGACATTTATGAAGTGCGCTCTTATAACCAGCCCTGAAGATAACACAGACTGGACCCTTTGGCTGTGCAACAAAGCGTTCAACTGAGATGCTAAACCAAAGGAAAGGCACGTGACAACTGGGAAAAGACCAGGGCTACAGCAAAAGTCATGAATGAAAATTATGCAGAATAGTGCTTTGCGATATACCGGATAAACAGGTTTCAATTTCCTCTTATCTCTTTGAATACATGTTATTATTATTATAATAATAATATTGTATGTCACTTTAAAGTTGTTTGTTGTTGTTTTATTGTTGAAATTGTTGGCATATCTTTTTTATTTTTAAGTTGTTTTTACTACGTTGCAGTTTGAACAATAAAATACTTTCTGCGCACAGACAACTGCTTTCAATGTTTCTATGTTTTGTTTGTACTCCTGACAGTAGAATAAGCCACTATAAACCTATATAAAAAAATAAAAAAAAACAGTCATGCAAAAAATATAAATACTACGATACACCATGAAACTGCCAGAATCTTAAAAAATGCCATGACACAACATTTTGGTCACACCGCCGAGCACTAACACAGAATGAAGGCCAGTATTTTAAAATTTCTACTCAGTTTCCCTGTGATAGCAAATGGAGGCAAAATATAATGATTTAGGATTTAAGACAAGATTTCTTTTTCTCCTCCTAATTAGCAGATTAAAAGCTTTCCTAAGATGGCACCAACAAGCGCAGTGAATGGTTACTGTTTACCAGATACAAAGTGTGGTACGGCATTTGACCTTTGCATAGACGGATAAGTAAAATTCAACACTATATGACAACTGCTTAGGTTTACTTAATATGTCTACGTGACCGGGTATCACTGTATGCACTTCAGGGAAGCACTTACTACATAATTTGACCTAAAATGTGATGGTTGAATAGTTCTGATGAACACTGCACACATTCGACAAGCTGCAAAACTGAAAAAGAGGAAGAGAAAGTCAGAGAAAGCTATTCCTTTGACAAAACATTGTACAAGTATGATGGTGACAAAAACCCACCCCCACCGACGGTTAGGAATCAAGCAAGCTGCAAAATGATGTGCTGCTGTGAAGGCTGTTCAAAGTGGCATCAAACAAGACGCCTTCAAACCTGTACATTAGCCAATCTGTTACAACAAGGCTCAACAGGGCTTTCTATGGTTTACTTATTAGCAGTTTATCCAGGCAGCAATATAGTAGCTATAAAACTAATTGTGCAGAACAGAACGTGTGAATGCTGCTGAGCACAGCCTCCTCACAAATTGTCTGTACCCGCCGTCATTAGAGGTCTGTGTCTTGATTTAGTCAAACACCACTAATAAAATAAATTGTATGACTTCTGCTTGTGGTGGCTTAATGTAATGGTTTTATGCTCATAAAGCTTTTTATTATTACATGAAAGGTATGTAACAACTGGTAGCTGTTTGTATTTCTGTTTTCAAGGTAATGGCAGCACAGGGTCGTGTTAAATGGCTCAACATGTGTTGTAGTCTGGAGTTAGTGTAGCTGCTACTGTCCCGCTGAACAGTCACAGTGACCAAGGCAGAGTAACAAAAATAGACTTAACTGGCAGGAGTAACACTTTCAAATGTTTGCTAAGGGTAGCTTGATTTCGACTACTGGGTAAGCCTGAATTAAAACTGCTATGGTTGCATTTAAGATCCAGCAGAGCTGTTTTACCTCACTGATGTTAGTATGGAGTAAAGACACCATAAACTGACCAGGGAACGTACATGACAATAAAGCTGGGATGGTAATGACACAGTTTACAGGTTCAACGGCAGTAGCGTTTCTCTGTTACAACCATGCAAGTGTTTCCTACAATAATTCACCTTAAACGCACATAGTTGCAGATTCAAATGAAAGCACATGCATAAGAAAGCAATCATGTGACAGATGACTGTATAAGAAGCTGGCCGATATTTTGACCAGATAAGCTGTTTGAGTCTTTGCACTCTGCAGTAGTAAAATGCAAATGTGACTTTTCATCAGTTTGGTTTGTAAAAAGAAAATAATATTGCCAGCATGAACACACAAGCTTTAATTTAGCTTCGACTGTTTTGCCACCTGCACCAATTATTCATCTCTGAAGTTCTTCAGTGACATTTAGGCCATTTCTGGCACAAAAGATGGTCACTGTCCTAATAATGTTTTTCTGCTTAGCTTGCACATTAACACAAGAAACTACACACTCAAGCCCCATTCAGACGGGCTTTATGTTTCTAGCCGAGGTGGGGTGGTTTTAAAGGAAAACACCAACAATTAAAAGAAAGAAACGTTTAGTCTTAACAGGCATTAGATGAAAAGATTGATCATAATATAATATTTATGTCTCCACACATGTAATGGTCCAAGACATGTTTATCTTAGCGTAACACAAGGACTGGACGCCACAATAATAAGACCATTTTCAAGCTTCTGAAAGGTGAACTTATCTCTTTTTCTTTGTTGATGAAGGCTAGTTATTTTCCTTTGTGTTTGTGCTTGGCTTAGTCATAACACCTTGTAGTTTTAGCCACCATTTCCACCTGGCGTTGAACTGTGATCTGTGTATGGATATAAATCCAGATAAGGAATAACGAATGTTAACGCCATGTGCAAAGTATGCAAGTCCGACAAAAGCAGTAACTAGCAAGTCTCCCCTCACGAGCAGCAATTCAAAAATACATGACGACCACCTATGGCACTGCTTCTCTTAAAAGTCCAGTTTGTAACATTTAGAAGGATTCACTGGCAGAAATGGAATATAACATTCACAGGTATATTTCTATTAGTGTATAATCACCTGAAAATAGTGATTGGTGTGTTTTCGCTACCTTTTTATCTACACAGTGAGCAGGTCCTCTTCTAAAGGAGGCCACAGTCTTTAACCTGGGGCGCACCATGTTTGTTCATAAGCCCGCCAAACTAATTTACATATTGAGATCCAGTCACAATAGAGGCAGACAGAAACAATGCTTATTAATACCAGGTATAAATGCAAAGGCCCGTGGAGTGCATGTCAATATCCAGATATAGATGATAATACAGCTGTAAATGGGGCTTTTCTATACTGTTCATTTTATAAATTATATACATACATAATACTTTATATCTTATTTTTGATTCTGTTCTTAAGGTCAGGGTTTTTAATTTTAGTTTAATGTATGTTTTGTATTTTGTATGCTACTGGATGCTTGAATTTCCCTCGGGATAAATAAAGTATCTATCTATCTATCTATCTTTAGACTGCAAGTGTTTTTCTGTAATGAAAAACCTAAAAAAGCTAATTCATATCAAACAAAAACATGTTAAATTAGATTTCTGTCACCTGTTATTGGCAATAAACAAATCCACCATTTCTTCACATTACATTTAAAACATGATATTTTTGTCAGTGTCTATGAGGCGGTCCCCTTCCATAAAGTACAACCCCCCCCAAAATCAACATTACCCAAACATGACTAAATAAATGTTACGGGAGAGCTCGATAGACGGGGGTTTCTTAAACAACAATGGGTGTTTCCTACATGCTGAATATTGATAGTAAAAACAGATGTTCTAACAGCCCCCTTAATATTACAAAATACAGGTCAAATTTAAAATGAAGAAAACAGAACTCCTGTATCAACACCCCAGATAAATGAGATGAAGAAGTTTATAAATGTTTTGTCTGTGCTGATGAGAAATCCTCTGGCCTAATCCTACATCAAACTGGAAATTCTGCAGTGGTTGAGCTTCTCCTCCTGTGAGCAATTTCCCTACTAATACTACAACAAAATTAAAAAGCCAGGTGTTTACAAATATCAGGAAGGGCTTCTGTTACCCAATCTCAAAGTGATACATACAATCCAGACTACAAAGACTTTTAGTCTAGACTAACTCCAGAAAGATCACATCAATTCATGCCATTAATTAAGAGTTAATGAGAGAGCAAACCCAAAGGACCAGCACACAGCATTACTGTGGATCTCTAGTTACCATTCAATAATCCTGGTCTGCTCTTAAAGCTACTGGTTTGGACTATTCGCACACACAAGAGGATGCTGCTCTTAAAAAAAATGTTCATTAACTTACAAACGCTGGGACAAACATGTTGCTGGGATCAAACGAGCATAATTTAGCCTACATTAATTAGCCTAGGCCTCGACAGAAGTCAGGTCATTTTCATTCATGGAGACAACGCATTTCAGTGATCACATCATCTCGGTCTGGCTGCGTTTAATCAATTGTTCACCAAACACTAAAATGAAACCTGGTTATCCTGGCCTTCACTGTGTTCACTAACCCTAATCCTAACCCAACGACTCTGTAAATGTGATCTGTGGCAGCCTGTCTTGTGTCACAACCAAGCTCACCCTAAAACTGGCATTTTTTTTGAGGGGGGGGGACATGACTGCGATGGCAGCTAGCTTAGCTCCACGGCACAACCTTTGTTATTGTGTACAGCGGCTCGACGACGAAAGCTAGCCCCCTAAATCAGCTAAAGTGTTGACACAGCTAACGTCCACCGATCTGCATGACACGACTGTGCAACGAGGTGCTAAACTGCGGTTTTCGTAAAGCAAGCTCTGGTCAATATGAGCGAAAAAGAGCCATTTGTCGACAGGCTAACCCACAATGAGCTGTTAGCAGTCGGTAACGTTAGCTCAGCGATCAGCTGGTGATTAGCCGCTGCGAGCTAGTTAGCTGTTAGCAATATCAAGAGCTGCAGGAGGGGGGGGGGGGGGCGGGGAAAAAAAAGAAATATTATAATGAGTGACATTTTTTTCCTCTCTAGACGGTGATAAAACACCTGTGTGCGTGGCCGTGAAGAGCCAAGTGTTCCCCGTGCATTGCCAGCCATATAATTGATTGGTTTAGTGACCTATATCGATGAGGGTTGGCAGCAGCTAGCGTTAGGTAGCTGCTACTAATCGGCAGCGCGATGCCTGTGCGCACTCACCAGGATGAGTAGCCTTGCTCCGCCATATCGCCGAAAACAGTGGGTTCCGCGACTGTGGCTCACACAGATTCAGGTCCCGGTGACAAGCCGCTGGGACCTCGGAGAGGTTTTCTGCTTATCCTTCACAATCCGCCGTCCTAGCAGTTACTTTTAGGTGACAACATGGTGATACATCCCGGCGGCAGCTAGTGATCACTAGCTGAATATCTTGCAATTGAAACGGGAATGATGTTTTTTTTTTTTTTTTTTGCTATCGTTAGGTGGACAAGACAAAGCACCCCGAGAAACACACACTGGTGTTATTTTCGTCGGTTTTCGCTAATGTCCTGCCGTCACCCCCCTTGGCCGAGAAGGCTCGGTCTCCAACGATGCTACACCCACTGTAAATCCATATTCAGCATGATGTGTCCGGGGTAAATTCGGATATTCCTCAAGTCTGCACCCGTAGCTGTTATGGAAGACGTTCAGCTTTGTTTTCTATGGCGAGAGTCACGGGAACGCGCAAAATCGCCCTGCTGTAGAGCTTTACAAGTAGGACGTGCACTGAACCGCTTTTGTGCACTGCTCGCAATGGTTTCCCTTCAGCTGGCAGCAGCCTATCGTACACACTCTCTCTCTCTCTCTCTCTCTCTCTCTCTCTCTCTCTCTCTCCTTCCTTCTCATCCTCTCCTCTCTTTCACAACACACACACAACACACCACACACACACACACACACACACCTCGACGATTGTAATATGTAAGTTATGGTTGTGCGTTTGGTTAATGGTCGAAGTATTTTATATAAGAGCGGAAACGTGATTTTTAGTTACTGATTATAAATGCTGAAAATAAGATAAACCCCTGAATAATAGATTTAATTAAACATTAAGGTCAGAAACACTTTTTTTTTTTTTTTTTCTTTTACCGAATTACAATTAGATAACTTCAATCAACTGCTATAAATTACATGGACTTTAGGTCTTTTTTTTTAAATATTATTTAGCTAATAAAGACTCCTTTAGTCATGAATAGGCCGAGGGGCCTTTGTCACGTGAATGGTTTACAGAGTTATCTAGACTTCTACACTTTTAATTAAAATATGTAATATGTATTTTCACGCTCCAGGGTCCGAAGGCCTCTGGTCAAAAGATAAAAATTAGGCTGCAATACAAAATAAAACAACTAAATATAAAACATTATGGTGGAGGCAATAAGCCAATCAATTAAAATCTAATTAAACATATGTTAGGCCTCACCATTGGCAGTATGGGCCTTACATATTGTGGCGCCCCCTCAGGCTCATCAGTGTAATTACAAAAAAACTAGAATTACTAAGGGTTGACTTGAAATACATGTATGACTAAAAACAGCATTTGCATCAAGCGGGATCCACAATCCTTCATCTATGGGGACCTGTGAGATGATCAAACTCTAAGACAAGTTAGTAACGTGCATTAATGGGACATGAATGTGTGCAGATACAGAGGGAGAGGAAGAGAGAGGCAGTCTAGGCCTAATATCAGCATAACTAAGGGAGGCTCAGGACTCCACTGAGCCAGTCCTAACTATAAGCTTTATCAAAGAGGAATGCGTTCAGCCTGCTCTTAAATTCCGAGCCGAAACTGGAAGCTGGTTCCACAGGAGAGGAGCTCGGTAGCTGAAGGCTGTTGCTCCTGTTCTACTTCTGGAGAGTAACTAGACTCACAACACTTAAAGGCCTCTTCAGGAAGGGACAGAGCAGGCTGTTCTTTCAGTGTGTGCAACAGGCTCCTGAAGACCAGCCTGTAGTAACCAGGCTGATTACTGGGGATTAGAAAAATAAGTAACTATAATCAGCCCAGATTACATTTGATAAAATGTGTTATTAGATTATAGTTACATTGTCAAGGATTACTTTACTGTGTTTTTTTGATTACGTCGTTAACCCATTAGGACCCAGGGTGTCACACATCCTTTAAATGTTCTGGAAAAAAATGTGTTCTGTTTGTCTATTTAATCTTTTTTATGTCCCCCAAATTTTCCTTGAAGGAGAAATGGGTCCGTGTTCTTATGGGTTAAAATATATAAATAAAAACGCACATCTGGTCTGACATACTAGGTTTCTTAAAGAAGTGCTCCACTTTGTGGTAGACCTGGCGGAAGAACAATTCAAGATGCGGCAGTTCCTCTAAAACTGCCTTCCGTTCCTGGAAATATCGCTGCGTCAGTTTTTTTGATTTAGGGCAATATTTTCAGTGTTTGATTTGGAAGTAATCCAAAAGTATTCAGATTAAATTAGGTAACCGACTGCATTTCAAAGTAATCTGACCAAACTCAGAGTAACCAGTGCTCTGTTTTTAAATATGGTCACAATCTGCCCTTCTAGTCCTGAGTTATGGTGTTGAATAATGGCCTGAAAAGTGTTTTTGCAGATCATTATGATGTCACAATGAAGCTGACTTTTGGCCGTTTGGATATAAAATGTGTCACCTCTTCATCCTTTGTGTGAAATTGCTTTTTTTGTTTTAAATTTTTGGGGGCTTTTATTGCCTTTAATCGATTGTGACAGCTGTAGAGTGACAGGGAATGGGGGTAAGAGATAGAGGCGAGTCAAATCTATGGCCGCTGCAGCAAGGATTCAGCCTTGGTAATGGGGCACCAGCTCCACCGGGTGAGCTTTCAGGACGTCCCATCTGTGTGAAATTTTTTCATAATTAGTGTTTGACTTCTTGAGTTATGGCCAAAAACATGTTTTGTGAGGTCACAGTGACCTTGACCTTTGGCCACCCAAATTTCTGTTGTATAGAAATGTAAACAAACCTTGCAGTTTTCCCATTAGTCAGAGTAGAGCCTTCATTATTAGTCTTTATTAGTTCATAATTTGCAGTGATTGCATAGAATGAGCAATAAGACACATCTTTCTATTAGACATAGATCCCGAGAGGTTCCTCTTATATACCTACAACACGGGAATTTGCCCTTGAAGATTTTACGTTCACTCTCCATCCTGAACACTGCAACGAGCTAGCTGTGCTAGCTTAAATATTATTGCATCTACATATTCCCTTAAAAAGCTTCAGCCAAATGAAAGGTCCTTATTGTTGACATATTGTACATCAGCACTGCCTGCAGTTTTGTGTGTAGAAAACAAGTAAACAAACATTATGATTCCCCACTTCAGCCACTTGTACTAAAGCTCCACTAGCATCCCTAGAGGCTGTAATATACAGCCCTCATTAAAAGAGTGTTGGATGGAACAAACAACATATAATTTTTATTAGCCATGCTAGAGGCGTGGCTCTAGGGGCGATATCAGTCAGTCAGTTTCAACCTTGGTTCAAACTGATATATTTCAACAACCAGTGGATGGATTTCCATGACACTGTGTACAGACTTTGGTGATACTCTGATGTTTCCTTGAGCGCGAGGTTGAGGTTGACATTGTGGGTTTATAGCCATATATTTTGTGCAGACATTCATGGTCTGTGTGAGTTTGGTGCTCGCCAAACTTTTCATCTAGTGCAATCATCAGGTAGAAATTTTAATTTGAGCACTAATTGGGTGTGTCTCCCTTACTCTAACAACTTCTTGTTGTTGTCATTAACAATGGGCATTACGGCCTCACAGAGCTGTTAGCTGGTCTGTCTTGTTCTGTTCAAAGAGCCTCATCAGTATGCAGTACAACTGAAAGACCAAGGGGTCATTTAAATCAGGGTTTGTCTCATTTGGGTAAAACCCAAGGTTCATAACAGTTCATGACAGACAGTATACTGATCAAATTATGAGATATATTGTGGGTAAAGTTAACATTTTTGATTGAAGGTGCACAAAAAGAAGGCTGAGGGAAACTTTTTCCTCTTGGTAGCATAAATAGGCTCAAGGATTTCAATGTCAATCTTCCCATTAGACTTTGATGTCTTCAAGTGATCCAAATCGAGCTCTTAGTTTTTATATTATGTTTATAAAATTGACAATTTAACCTGGTGGTGGGGTTAAAGGAGAATTGTCCAAAATAGAAATGGTATATAATGAAGATCGTGGATGTTTCACAGCAATCTTCTTGTATTAAAGTGGAAATGTTAGTGATGAAGAACCAATGAAGTGATCACCAAACAATTACTTTGATTTGAATATCCAGAATTTCTGGGTATTTTGGATAATAGCTATTGAAATATCTTGTCTTAATGAATACACAAACTGATGCTCAGATGCACACGTCGACAGATGGCCCAAGTGAAGGAAGGATATATAGAGATTTAAGATTCAACGCATTTGGGAGAGCACAATGCAGTCAGATTTAAACACGTGTACTGAAATTTGGGAATACCTTTACATAAAAATGAAGTGATTTGTTGATGTGCCTTCAAATACGCAAATGCTGATTTGCATTTGAGAGCATCTAAAGTTATATGACTACTTTACTATATGCCACAAACCTGCCTACACTTTTGCACACCAGGTTAAAGGTGCACAAGTCTCAGTACTCACCTTTAAATCTAGTTGCAAATTCACAAATCTTTGAACACATTTGCGAATGTCAGTTTAGACATTTTCAATACTGAAGTCCTGATTTCTATGTGTGGTGTAGACACAGCTATTCTGGTCCCTGTTGTTCAGTGATATTAACAAAACAATGTATGTTTAGCTGTGAAACCATCCATGTGAATCCATGAGAATGCTATAAATCATGTGATCATTCTTCTCTAATAGAAAGTTGACCATCACATGAGAGACCTATTCGTGTAAAACATGTACACAAGTCTCTTGTCTTGGCCAAAATGCAGGGATGCAGGCATAACATTGCAAAGCTTTTAATTTCCCATCTTGATTAAGTCTAAATTACAAAGAAAAAGTGCAGGAAAGCCCTTTTCTCCTTTCCACCATCTACACTGTTAAATATGTGTATTGATCTGAGGAAGGTGTTACACCAATTTAAGTCCAATGGAATGAATAATCTTGCTTGACAATAGGAAACTTTGCTATTAGGGCTTAGCTGATGCCAGACGAGACAGTGTCTTTCCTGTAGATAAAGACGGCATTAGGGTTTAGAAAGGGGTCAGTGGGATTCCCTTCAGCCAAAGAGTGTGGGGATTACCAAATTCTGCAAAGAGCTGCTTTTCTTACAGATCATGTACAATCTGTTCTTAGCAAGAGAACCATAGCCACAAGATACAGGAGCAGCACTGACCCAAAGCCTTATTCATTCAAGGTCAAATAAGGTTCTTCTGCAGCATCCATCAACCTGCACTCAGCTACCCTGCCCTGTTTTATTTAGTGTCCATCAGAGTTGACCTACACGAGGATGAACAACCAGCTACAAGTAGAAGTAAAGCCACATCACTCAGAGTTGACCTAGACGAGGATGAACAACCAGCTACACTCTGTGAAAGAAAGGCCAAGCAACAGTGGTTTTGAAGAGGGGCGTTTATAACTATTTAAAGGTTATACATGTGACTTTCAGAAAACTGTTGTTAATGGTGTCGTACCAGCCAACTGACATATCCACTCAGATAGTATTTTGATAGCATTAACGTTAGCGAGTAAACTAAGGTTAGCCAGTCAGCCGCAACCCAGCTACGGTGAATAACGTTATCTGGTGTCGGCCATCTTGACAAAATAATCTGCAAATGTCAATTTTTTACCTGCCAG